CAAGCCTACTGATTTTTGTAGATTGATTCTATAACATGCCACTATACTGAACGTGTTGATCAGTTCTAGGACTTTTCTGGTGGAACTTTTGGGATCTCTTAGGTATAGTATCACATCACTTGCAAAAACTGATAGTTTGACCTCTTCTTTTCCAATTAGTACTCCTTTAATTTCCTTCTCCTATCTTATTGCTCTAGCAAGAGTTTCAAGCACTATGTTGAAAAGGAGTGCAGATAGTGGACATCCTTCTCTGGTTCCTGATTTTAATGGGAATGCTCTTTCTAATTTTTTAATGTAGGCACTTAGAGTTATAAACTTCCCTCTTAACTGCTTTTAAAGTATCCCAGAGGTTTTGTTGTGTTGTATTGTCATTTTCATTTATCTCCAGGAATTCTTTTCTTCTTGATTTCTTCTTTAACCCATTCATCATTCAGGAGTGTGTTGTTTAATATCCATGAGTTCAGGTATGAAAAAGTTCCATGAGGTGCTGAGTAGAAAGTGTATTCTTTGGTGTTTGGGTGGAATAATTGAAAGGTGTCTGTTAGGTCCATTTGATGTATGTTATCATTTAATTTAGACAACTCTCTGTTTATTCTTTGTCTAGTCGACCTGTCTAATGGAGACAGTGGGGTATTGAAGTCCCCTACTATTACCAAGTTGAGGTTAATCTGTCCCTTATAGTCCTGCAGGGTTGTTTTTATGAATTTGGGTATACCAGAATTTGGTGCATATATGTTAAGGATTGTAATATCTTCTTGGTTAACTGTTCCTTTGATCAGAATGAAGTGACCCTCCTTATCTCTTCTGATTAGTTTTACTTTGAAGTCTTTTTTGTCAGATATTAGAATTGCAACCCCTGCTTGTTTCTTAGTGCCATTTTCTTGGAATATTGTTTTCCATCCTTTTACCTTAAGGTAGTACCTGTCCTTGAAAGTGAGATGGGTTTCTTGCAGACAGCAAAAAGATGGTTTTTGTTTGACCGGGGAGTTCAGTCCATTGATATTTAAGGTTAATATTGAAAGTTGTGTTTTGGTTGCAGTCATTTTGTTTGTTGTTTGTGTTCTCTGTGTAATATTGTATTTCCTAGATTATATCTTTGTTTATTTCCTTTCATTACTCTAAGGCATAGTTA